TGTTAAATAGTTTTGATTTCCTTTTATAGAAATATTACTTACACTCTTATGTCATTTATTTAGCACGACAGAGATATTTTCATGTCAGTACATATAAATGTATCCTATTTTGTCACTTCCTAAAGTATTCCACTGTGTAGGCATTTAGTTTGATTTTGAGTGTTTATTATAACACTTTATGTTTAAGAAATATTCTATCACATATGGGATACAGACGTTCTTTTTGTTGATTAAACTTCATCCCTACACATGATAGCAGGTGATATCATTTTAGTCTGCTGTTAACTTGTTATAGGAAGCTTTCTAAATTATTTGTATAAAAAGTAGATAAAGAAACAGATCCAAAATTAACTTACATAAAAGTATTTTTAGTACCTAAGTAGCCTTACGGAAGTGTCTTGGTACATGAGAGGTCATTGTGTGACAATATCACGCATAGAAACTGCTAGAAACTGCTGTCACTGCTGGCAAGGTCATTAGCGAATGTCTGGTTTTTACAGCTGTGATTATTGGCTCTTTTTATAATGTGAATTTTTATTTCTACTAATATAAAACAGCTTTGCAATAACTGAGTTTGAGAAAAGTAAAGGGATTTTTTTCAATCTTTTTCAGTGTGAGTAAGCAAGGGAAAAATTACTTCTGGCTAATTAAGTGATTTGATTTTAAATGAATTTATATTTTACTTAACTTATTCATGAAATCTAAATGAAATGGTTTGGCGGTATTAATGTTGCGTTCCCATGGTTTTTTTTTTTAATAAATTTTTTTTGAAGATTTATTTATTTATGCATACAGAACTGTAGTACAGGCCAGAGGTGCAAGTACGGTGAGAGGGTTCACCAAAGACAGAGAGGGGAGCAGAACAGGCAGGTTGACAAAGCACACTGCTGAAGCAAGACAGGAGAGGTGTGCCATGCCATGTGGGTCACTTCCCTGGCCAGGGATCGAATTCATGCTGCAGTGGTTGCAGATACCTTCATGGTGCTGACACCAGAGATGCCTCCTCATGTTACAATTATTTTAATGTGCTTCTCTTTTCTCTACAGAACAACTTTTCACTGATTATCTTTTTAAGCTTTACTTTGTTGAAATATATAAACATTTTGATGGATGATATGTTAATTATTATGTTAACTCAAAATGAACCAAATCCAACTTCAAATTACTGTGGAATCAATACATGTTCTTTGCATTTATTCCTAATTCAATAAATATTATCATCTTACTGGTGCTTGCAAGGGACTGTTGTAGCTATGACTTTGAGCAATTCACCAAATTGTTGGTCCTGTGGAATATCTGTACCACAATCATATACCATTGGTGTGCACATACCCTATGTCAGAGGGATCCCTCAAACTTGTAGCTCTCCTGGATTTTGACCTGATTTTCATGGTTTCACGTTTCACCTCCCTTACGTCAATAGATCTTTATTCAAATGTGCATTTGGACTAGAGAAGTCTGATTCTAATCCTGTTTCTAGTCTAAATTTTAGGGAGCTTACATTCTTCTGGTTTTCTTGGACTAGGAGTGACCTGTCACTTTCTTTCTCTTTAACTTCAGTTGAGATAATGCCTAGGAGTTTGACAAACATTTTATTAAAAAAATATTAGAACATCAACATCACTTGTGATAAGGGAGATGCAGATTAAACTCACAATGAGATGCCACCTCACACATTGAGAATGGCACATTTAAAAACAACTTGCAACAACAAATGCTGGTGAAGATGTGAAGAAAAAGGAACTCTCCTGTACTGCCGGTGGGAATGCAAACTAGTACAACCACTATGGAAAGCTGTTTGGAGGTTCCTCAAACTGCTAAACATGGAGCTTCCCTACGACCCAGCAATCCCACTCCTAGGTATCTATCCAAAAGACACAAAAATACTGATACAAAAAGACACCTGCACCCCCATGTTTATTGCTGCTTTATTTACAATAGGAAAGACATGGAAAACCTAAATGCCCAAAAGTAGATGACTGGATTAAAAGATGTGGTACATATACACAATGGAATATTACTCAGCAACCAAAAAATATAAACACATGCCTTTTGCAGCAACATGGATGGAGCTGGAAAAGATCATGCTTCGTGAAATAAGCCAGAAAGAAAAGGAAAAATACCAGATGGTTTCACTTATAGCAGGAGTATAAAAGGACCAGGGAAAAAAGAATAATAGTGAATAACTATATACCAGAGACATTTTATGGGGGTGGCTGCACCAATTTGCACTCTTCCCAACAGTGTGTAGGGTCTTCCTTTTCTCAACATCCTTACCAACAGTTGTTACCTCCTGTATTTCTAATAACAATTCTAAAATGTGTGAAGTAAGTCTCCTGGTGGTTGTGATTTGCATGTCCTAATAATTAATGATGTTGAGCATCTTTTCAAGTACCTTTTAGCCATTGATTAGTGACTGTCAGAGTCCCTTCCCATTTTTAAAAAAGATTTCTTTATGCATACAGAACTAGAGTGCAGCCAGAGGTGCAGGGGCGGTGAGATGATTGACCAGAGACAGAGCAGGGAGCAGAACAGGCTGACTGACGAAGTACACTGCTGAGGGGAGCAGCAGGCTGGTCAGGAGAGGTCTGCCACACCATGTGGATTACCCCCAGGGTGCAATACAACTCATGCTGAAGTGGCTTTAGCTTCTTAATGCTGTGCTTTGACCCACTGTGCTACTAGGGAGGGGCCCTCTCTTCCCATTTTTTAAGTGTAATTGTTTCTTTATTTGCAGTTGAGTTCAGTATATATTTTGGGTGTATATTTGCATATGCTTAACTGTCTTAAACTCAGGCTCTTTGGCCATCTCTTTCTTGATTGCCCCTTTGCACTTCTGGCTTGTCTGTATTTTACCATACCTAGTTCTTAGTTTCCATTCATTTCTGCCTTAATGCTTTGTTGGTTGGACAGTGCCATGGGATAACCATTGAACAGCTGATGGCTCCAAGTATAGTTGCCCCTTGGCAGGGGTAGTTTGTATGGCAGAGCCTTCCCTACCATGCACTGCACTGTAAATGGGCACTGGAAGGGCTGGATGACTTGCTGTCATTCACTGGCTTCTTCATCCAATGCTTCTTTTGGAGTGGAAACTGTGTTTGAGCGGGAAGAAGGTGAGTGAGTCCTCTATCCTCCACTGTCGGCTGCCATTGCCCCATACAGATTTTCAGATTTGGATTCACCTTGACTTAGTCCTGTATTTAAAGAATTAGTTGACCTCATCAAGTTGATGTGGGTGGGATTGGCTAATGTTTACAGCTGTTGAATATCCCTGTTATAATTCTACTTCAGGAATCAGGGGGTGATGGGAACTACCTTCAACTCTTGAGTTCAACAGAGCAGCTTTCCTGCCATTCTGAGCTTTGTAGGAGAGGAAGAATGCCCTTTGCCCTGTCCATATGATATAAACCTCCTGTGGCATGCAGCTGATGATGTTTACTAGCTGCTCAAACTCCCAGGGGAGGTCTTAATACACTATAAGTTTGCGGAAATGCTGACACAGTTCTGCAAAGCTCAGCTGTGAAGTCTCTGGGCCTTATGTCCCAGCCTCCCACTGTTCTTCCCAAATTTCTGTACATTTGTTAAATAAATCCTCTTCAATTTGCTGAGATCATCAAACTTCTTTCAGTCCTGACATTTGTTCATTCTCACTTTATTGACAGAACTCAATGTTTGCTTACATCATCGTGTCCTAGAAACACACCTCAGGCCTTGAATCATTGCTGATTATTTTCTAATGTTTTTTGAAAATGTAATGTTCTTTTGCACAAACACGTTCTGTTGTAACTTGTATGAGTTTTAGAAAATATTGCTGGATTTTATTTAATTACATTATCATGGCTTCAAATATTAACTTAAACCTTAACAATCTAAATGCCAGCCATATATGTTTATGTTGAGAATCAGATTTAGTTAAAGTGCACCTAAAGTCCTAGTACATCTTGCTTAGCATGTGGTGTTGTGAACTTCACACTGTTCAAATGAATATGATCAACACTTTTTAAAGTTCCTAAATGATGTGATCAGCAGTTTCCTATTAAAAATAGAAATAAACTATTTTTTTAAAGATTTATTTATTTATGCATTCAGAATTGGGGTGCAGGCAGAGGTGCAGGGGCGGTGAGAGGATTCACCAGAGACAAACTGAGGGCAGAACAGGCAGATGGAG